AGCATATTGAGGCGAAGTATCACGTCATCAGGGATAAGGTAGCTTTTGGTGATTTTATTTTGCTTAAAATTGCAACTGATGATAACACTGCAGATGTTGGAACAAAAGTACTTGTGGTCGGTAAGTTCAACAGTGTTTATCAGTATTGAGTATTGATAATGGTTAATTATTGTGCATGTACTGAGCTGGAGTAAGCGATGATGATAAAATAAGACCACACTAATTGATAGCACTTGTAATCGGGGAATTTGACAGTGTATTATATGTGATCAAAGCTGAAGATTTGTGAGGTAGATCGCTTTAATCCACTTGGCACATGAGTATTTGTTTTGAGAATTTTGAAATGATTGTGCCAGTTGATGTGTATTATGGACTATAGATTAAATCCAATGGCGGGGAATTTACTTGTCTTTTTCAAAGTTCAATATTTGAATTTGAATTCAAATTCAAATTGTTATTTGAATATATAATTACAAGACTTCTTCATCTTTTCATTTGGACTTGACATAACAAAAGAGAGAGCATAGAGATGTAACCAAGTGGAAGAAGTTTATATCTCCGGCGAAATTTTTGGTGGTTTCCGACGGATTTGTTTTTCGGTATATCCATTGTCATTCCTGTGGACGATGGTACATGATTTTGTGTGGCAAAAATCTGAGTTCAACGTCATATGACGCTCCATTAGTGGTGTTGAAAAAGTTTTGAGTCTTTTTTTATTCGATTTTATACTTTTGAGAGTTTATATTTCTACATTGTTGTTGTAATGATTATTTATTCACTATATTTTAAACTCTACATAATGTATGAATATATAATTGAAAATGAATATTTTAAGAAAAAAAATTATTGAAATAATAATTCACGGAGATAAGAGTGTGTTTGATGCACATTTTTAGGAGAGAATGCAATTTTTTTAGGACCATGTTATGTGTACACAATGGTATACACACGGCCTTACACCCCCCTCACATGGCCGTGTGTACACCACAAGGTGTACACATATCATTATTTTTTTTTTTTTATGATGTGATGGTGAATATGCGTTTAGAAAAAGGAAAAGTTATTGATATGATATAAAATATTATTTTATTGAAAAATATTTGATTGAAAATGAGAACGCGGCTGAAAGAGGTAAGCCTCTGTTTGGCATCCATTCTCTTTCTCAATTTTTTTTATTTCAACTACACATTCTTCAAATAAAATAATAATACATACAAATCTAAAATTTTTCATCATTTTTTCATCACACATTCTCCAATCAATCACTATTTCAAAAATTTTCGACCCATTAAAATGAGTGTCAAACACCCCTAAGTAAGTTTTCAAGAATCCCATGGCGGCACGGCCACAAAATATCTACAGAAACAAATTCCAACAAAAAAAAAAAAAGAGAAAGTCCAAAACGACGCTAATTGAGTCAATAACATTGACGGTAAGTTGGAGCCATTTAAAATTTCGTAATTGAGAAGGGATATGAAATCCAACGCAAATCTGAGTCAGAATGGGTCCCAACAAAGGTAAATATCTCATCAGAAATAGACAGCAAATCCGTAGCTCAACAGTCCTTCATTCTGGTGTTTACAGCTATTCAATTCTTCTCTCTCTAAAATTAATAAAATATTAGCGTCCAAAAGGAGTATTAGATTTTCAGGGAAGGACTCCTTCTATCGGAATTCTCAGGGAAGGACTCGCCGGCAGTTATAAATACTGCCATTTTTATAAACCCAATATGTCCCCAACGATTTACATTTGTCGCTCTCCAAAATTTACATTTTCTCTCTTTCGTTATGTTAAAGATGACTATCATCATTGATCAGCCTCAATTTGGTAAATTTTTTTCCGAATTTTTATTTTTATCACTAATTTAATTATATTTTCTCGAATGCTTTTGAAACAAATTTTATAGATATTATTCTCTTATCACTTCAGATCTGTATTTTCTTCATTTTTTTTTAAAAATAAAATCTATAGATTACTGGATTTGTTAATATTTTGTTTTTTTTCAATTCAGATTTTGAAGCGGAATATTATTTACTAATGTAATCTTATTTAAATTTTTTTTTTCATTCAATTTAGGTGATCTTGTTTAATTATTTCATCAGATCTCTTATAATAACCTATATATTTTTTTAATTATATAATTTGTTGTGATTTTGAAAAAAAAAACAGGAATTGAAGTGGAAGAAAACAGGGTTCTTAATAATGAAAAGGAGTTGGAGATTAATGGAGGATTTATAATGCCCACTGCTAATACATTTGGCCACAATTTTAGGTCATTCTTCTTTTTTTAATCATCATTTATAATGAATTTTATAGTTGAAAGTTTATATTTAACAAGATGATTATTCCATTTAACTACAGTGTGTTGTTAATAAATATTGATTAATTAATTTATGACATAATCAGATTATATCTTGTGAATTGAAATTTGGACACCAGATTGATATATAGATGGCAAACGGGTCAAGCGGCTCGTCGGCTCGACTGATGAGAACAAGAGCCGCGAGAGCCCGAGCTGAGCTTCAAATGAGCTTGACGAGTCGAGCAAGCTCGCGAGCGGCTTGTAGGCTTGTGAAAAATTAAAGAATTTTTTTTTTAAAAAAGTGAAAAAAAAAAAATTCAAAAAGCTCGTGGGCTCGCGGCTCGGCTCACGGGCCAAGCCGAACTTGCCCACGAGCAAACGAGCCACAAGCAGACTCGGTTCGCGAGCTCTGCTCGTTTCGAGCCGAGCTCGTGGGTTTAAAGGCCGAGCAGGCCCATTGCCATGACTAGATTGATAACAACCACAAATATTGGAGAACAAATGAAAATTAATCAAGAACCCTAGCCACAAGTTAATAATTTTACTGTGACTGGGTAAATTATTGTCAACTTTACTGTTAATCACAAAATAAGCTGACTTAAATTTTTTTAATTGTAAAGAGAACTTTTAACGATTTAATTATTTTTACTTGAAGTCGTAGACAGATCAGAGGCTTAGGTTTACACTTTTTTTTAAAAAAAAAAACCAAAAGGGTAATTTTTGTGTAAAACAGAGATTATGAAGCTGAAAGTGAGAGGCAAGAAGGGGTGGAAAATTTCTACAAGACAAATCACATCAACCAGACATGTGACTTTGTAAGTAACTTTTTAAGTTTTAAGAAGCTTTAATTTTTATTTTATTATTATTATTTTTTTTGCTTTGTCGGCATCCATGACATAACAGTTGTTAAGAACTAAAAAATGAAATTCATATGGTTGATCTTGAAAATTCATGTTGATATCGTTGTTGTAGGTGAAGAATATGAGAGAAGAGTACAGAAAAATGGACCGGGTTGAAATGAGCATATGGAAATGTTGTGAGCTTCTAAACGACGTTATTGATGAAAGTGATCCTGATTTGGATGAGCCTCAAATTGAGCACTTGTTGCAGACTGCCGAAGCCATTAGGAAGGACTTTCCTAATGAAGATTGGCTGCACTTGACTGCCCTCATCCACGGTATCCTGTTGTCTTCTTCGATAAAAATATTGTCGAATTTCACGATATTTCATAGAATAAATGCTAATTTTATGTTGGCTTGTGTTGTTTTAGATCTCGGAAAGGTTCTTCTTCTTCCTATCTTTGGTGAGCTTCCTCAATGGGCTGTTGTTGGTAAGCACTACAATTGCGATGATCAAATGCAATCGGTGGCGGAGCCAAAATTTTCAGATGGGAATAAATGTTGAAGGGGCAAAACGTTAATGAATTTTGTTTATATAAAAAAAGATTTCAAAATTTCTACACATTTTAAGAAAATTTACGGGGTGGTTGCCACCCCTAGCCCCCTTGGCTACGCAGTCGAATGCAACTAGTACCTAACATATTGTTCCTTGTACACTTCAGTTTCTGAGGATTAATAAGTGATTTTGTGTTGCAGGTGACACTTACCCTGTTGGATGTGCTTTTGACGAATCAATCGTTCACCACGAGGTTTGTCTCCTTAAAATTTCAAGAGATTATATTTATTCTTGAATTATGTTAACACTACTATGTTTCACTAAAATTTTTATCGTACTTGTTCAGAATTCTCAAATTTACTCTCTCTTTATTACTGCAGTACTTCAAGGAAAATCCCGATTACCAGAATCCTGCTTACAATACTAAATATGGAGTTTATAAGGAACGTTGTGGACTTGACAATGTGATGATGTCTTGGGGTCACGATGACTATATGTATTTGGTACATTTTCGAATCCTTGAAGCGAATGCTTCTCATGAATCTTGCTAAAACCAGAGAATGAAAATCAAAATTGAGGTTCTTTACAATATCATTACTGTTTTCTAGGTGGCAAAGGAAAATAAATCGACCTTACCTTCAGTCGGCCTTTTTATAATCAGATACCATTCATTTTATGGTAAGTACTGTACACAGCACGACAAGTTTGTGTTCATGATTTATAACGAGTGTCAAAAATTCAATCGCGCGATTCAGCACAATCAGACGACAAGTTGGTGTTGATGGAATCACTAAATTTTTGCAGCTTTGCATCGGTCGGGAGCTTACAAACATTTGATGAACGAGGAAGATGAGGAGAATCTGAAGTGGGTACAGATTTTCAAGTATGACCACTCTTGTCTATTACCTATACAGAGCCATTATTTAGAATTCAAAAACCCGAAAATCTTTAGTGGCTACAATAAATACTCAATACCTCATTTTTTTTTTTTAATTCTCTTAATCACTTTGTGCAGCAAGTACGATTTATACAGCAAGAGCAAGGTTCGAGTTGATGTTGAAAAGGTCAAGCCATATTATCTCTCTCTCATTGAAAAGGTAAGGCTAAAATTATTCGTCGCATGTTGAATGTCAATAAAGTCCGATTTCATGTCCTACGAATTGATTGTGTGTGTTTGATCTTTAATGATATGTTTTTCTTTGCAGTATTTCCCTGCAAAGCTAAGATGGTGAGGAGTTTATTGATGCGTAGAACTTGCATCTTTTTTACGAGTTTTTGTGAAGAGCTCGAGAGCCCCACGGAGTGTTGAGATGAAGTTTCTTAGCCACGAGACATTAGCCTTGTAGCATATGTTCACTAGTGAATCGAATAATGTTCCTTCCCTTGTTTTATAAATTATGCTTGTATGTCTATTTGATAAAAAAATAAATAAATAAATAAATAATGTGTCTTTATTCGCCTTGATTCAAACTTACATGTTCAACAAAATATTGAGTCAATTTTAAATTTTTAATACTTAGTGAAACGTCCCACGGATAAATATTGATGAATAATTTCATTAATTTAAGTCAGCACAAACAAAAGGCGAAGGAAATGAAAATCAAAATCCATCAACCACGACAAAATAATCAAGAAGAAGAGAAGTCGCTATGTTGTGGGCTACTTGATTTGTGATTAAAGCAACAAGAGCCATAATTAACATCTTGGATTACTACCTAGATGCAATGAAACCAGCATTCGTTCTTTTTGCGACAATAGTTTAAGATTTTTGACCACACTTTTGAATATTCACCTAAGAATTTTGACATCAAAACAACCACAATTTGTACCTGTGCATTTCAACAGCAAGGATGTATCTTCTGCGATTATGGCTTAGTTTTGCCTACTTCTTGTACACCACACACACAACAACGCTCTTGGCCAATAATCTTGTTGGAAGTAGGCAAGCAAAAATATCAACGTGGATTAACTTGGACAGAATAACGTCGTGAAAAAGTAAATGCGATCAATTGTTAATGGTTGAGGCAAGAGTTCGACTCTTTCTCCTTAAGACGACAACGTCCCGCACTAGTGCTGACGGTATTCTGACACTTGTCTCCCAAGATACAACGACTTCGACTTTTAATAGCAGCACTATAAATTACAAGACCCGACGAACATACTCACATTTTGATCTCTCTAAAAGTTGGAGGACTAAATGAACGAAAATTATTTTTCGAGACTAGATTGCAAAATATGAATAATGTAGGGATGAAGGAATAATATCAGAAAAGGAATAAAATCAGAATTGATTGTTGAAGTGAATGAAAATAGGGGTATGGGGGCCAATTTATAAAAGTTGAAAGATTGTGTTCAAAAGACACAATATTCGAAAAATTGTGTCCTCAACAGACACAAACCGTTTGGACCAGTTGAACCGTCAACTGTCCTTCTAGAAGAGTCCACGTGTCACACACAAAAAATTTGGGAAAAAAAATTATTATAATAATAAAATAATATAAATCAAATATTATTTTACTAAAAAATATATATCAGCTTGGTCCAAGTCCAAATCCAAATCCAAGTCCACGATCTATGCTCGTGAGGTGCCGAGTCGAGCCGGCAGGCCGGCCAGTCGGACTGACTGCGGCGGCGGCACGCACGTGTGGGCCCTGACCCAACCTACTAACATGTGGGTTCTCTCCCATTCAAAGACTATTGGTACCTTTTAGGGCCCAAAGCCAAGTCCCAAACTTTAGCATTATAAAGTGGTTTATATTATGAGAAAATTACCTAAAACCCTTCTTTTCAATATTACAATTCAAAAATCAGGTGATAAAGTTTACATTTCAAAAATCAGGTGGAAATTAGGATTATTAATTGTAATTAATAAAATTTTAAATCTACCTATTTCACCCCACCCCACCCCATTAATTGAATTCCCAAACCCAGAAGCCCTCTTCATTTCTCTCTGTATCTTCTCCATCTCCCTCCCTCCATCCGCCTCTCGTAGCAGCTTCGCCCCAACACAACCACCTCCGTCCCTGTGAATCCACAGCTGCTTCGCCACCTCCGCCCGTGAAGTTTCGTCGGGCAGTAGTCAGCACCTGTTTCGGTTCGACTCGAGCCCTATTAGTTTGACTTTTATTTTATGTGAGGTTTAATTTTATTTTTTCAAACTTTTAATCTCAGTTGCACATTGTTATGGAATATTCAAAATCAATTGTTAACCTGAAGCTATTG